AAACATTTTAAGAAAGCACATTAATAATTTTTATATATGTGAATCCATAGAAATATCCTATCCAGGGAAAGAGGCTAAAAGCCTTGGCCTACAAACCAAAACTCACATCTGTGCCGTGCTGGAGATCCCACATCAATGGAAAGGCAAAGGTTGATATAAAAGATGAAGAGCGGCTATTACAGGAAACAGCTCCCAGGAAGCTGCAATAAGCATCAGTTCTTAGCACGACAGAATCCAAATGAAAGGTACTCAATAATGAATAAAGAAACATTTTATTATGATGTAATAACCAGGAAAATTTAACAATCATAAATCTCTGTGCACACCAGAATCTCTTTGATATAAAAAAAGAAAAAAAATTACTGAAATGTTAAAATGTATTGACAAATGCAGTTATAGATGAGAACATTTTTATACTACCAATAGTCACAGATCAACTGCATCAGCCTTTGGGGAACTTGATTAACCCCCAAGGTTCTTTCGGTAGAATTAGTTACATAACGTGCTTTGTGACCATCAATAAATATATATCATTTTTACAAATTCCTAAGAGGCAGTAGAACATATTTATCATACCCAGAATGAAAATAAATTGTCATCATGGCAAAACAGAGCCATAATCTGTCCAGATCTAGTGACACTGGAAGTGACACAGGCCAACCCCAAAATAGTCATCCTGTGGAATTGAATAATCAGACTTTTTATCCTCACCCTAAAAGGAGATGGAAATAGGAATTATAGGCTTTAAGCAGAGTGACAGTGAGTAGCCATGAATCCAAAGCTGTGGGATTTGGCTAAAGGAGTGATTCTTGGAATATTTGAGTCCTTGAACACACTTGCTAGAAAATACAGAAGATTGGTAATGAGTGACAATCAAGAAAAAGCAAAATACAATTTTTTAAATTTATGGCATTTATTAGATGATGTTGCAAACAAGTATTTTTTGTAATGAGGAAAGGTAGGGCTTCTCTGGAATGAGAAATCAAAGAAATGTCAGAGAAGCTGAGGTGGGTGTGGGCACGGTGATATTTAAATGTCTTTTTGCTCATGACCTTCAGGGAAGCCACCTAGGACAGGGGAGTAGAAGGGCCCCCTTTTCAAAACCTGGACCCAGAGAGGCAATATAGAAAGGCATATTTTCCCCCTAGCATTCCATGGCCCTCCTCACCATTTTCTTACAGCATGGACATAATATTCACTCATTTAGTGAGCCTTGGATTTATTATGCCTCTTCTGTGTACCAAGCAACATGTTATGTCCTCGAGTACAGAACGAACAGGGCTGACAACATGCACACCCTACTGTGGACATTGTAGCAGAGTAACAAGAAGCAAATACATAAAGAAATTAATTGTAGAAGTTGGTAAGAGTGACAAAGAATCTTAGGAGTATGAAATGGTGTTAACTGGAGAAAGTGCGGCCAGTCAGAGGGGTTGGGGAAGAACTCCGAGGGACTTGAACTCCCACATTTCTGTGACAGGACATCTGAACAAAGACTTTGGAATGCTTGCTTGAGAAAAATGTAAATTTTAATAAAGAAAGTTATTTTAAGTTGAACTAGAAGGAGATAATATAGAAAATGAACAGCAATCATAGTCTTTAATAATAAACCAAAGACTTAATTTTGAGATCATCATAAAACTGTAAGGATCCAAGACTCATCTAGGAAAAGCAATGGAAAATAGCATTAAACATAAGGAATTACTTCCAATATAAGGGTGGTTAATTATAAGAAAATATTACACAGGGTATTTTACATTTAAAACTCCAAGTAAATGCATAACTTTCATGATGGGCTCAAAGAACGAAAGCAGAGTTATGACTGCAAAAAACCACATCTAACTCAAGAATACAACCACAGAGAAGTCCTGTGCATACTGCTTAGTAGGGGTATAATTTCCAGCAAGTTTCTCAGCTTCTCTGGGCCTCAGTTTCTCTTTGGAAAAATAAGCTAAACATAGTAACTGCTATAAAGTAATACCATGCGTATAAAGCAAGCAATGCATTTTGTTAAATCCCCAAACAGCACTTGCCATGTAGCAATTATTCTACAAATATTTGTTGGCTGTCTTCATCACCACCACCATCATCACCAACATCACTGTCACCATCACCATCGTCATCCTCATCATAGTCATTACTACCATCATGATCACCATCGTCACAGTCACTGTCACTATCACTCACCATCACTATTATCACCATCACTGTCAATCCCATCATGATCATGATCACACACCATCACCATCATCATAATATGATTTTACAGTTAATTTTTACCTAACCATCAAGATCATTTACTAAAGCAACAAAAAGATGTAATGTTTATGAATTTAGCTTTATAAGGCCAACATTGCCCTGTACTGAAAATTATATGAAATCAAAGAAACCTGTTGAACCTCTCATGGAAAAGTAGAGGAGATGATGACAAACTAAGCTTAGCAGGTAGATCACCATGTCCCTCTTTAGTCATGGGAGCCATCCTACTTCTTTGTTTTTACACACACACACACACACACACACACACACACACACATTAGATTTTTAGTCATTTTCACCCCTATTACCCTTTCATCCTCTCCCACTGAAGCTCTTCATCTACCTAATTACCCCAATCCTACTTAGATATATTTCTTTGTTAGAGAAATCTGCTGATTTTCATTATGGTTGCTTGCTACCTCAGAGGTGCAGACTGCATACACACACCCTCCCCTGCCTACCTAAGCAGGAGGTTCTGACACTCCCGTGTGGTGGAGAGCTTGTGAGCCTCAGGCAGAGGGCCAGTAGTCAGGGCCTTTGTTGGCTTCTACCCAGGGATAAGAACTGGATTGACGTCTGAGAAGAGAATGTTCTCAATAAGAGAATTTCAGAGATGCCTGGTGCTTACCTTGCTAGACCCTAAGTAGCCCAGGAGATCCTGTCACTCTTTCTGTGTCATAGCAGCTTGGTATAGGCAGGCCTGGCCATGAAGCCAGTCAATATATAGATGTATTTGATGTACATGCACCCTCTTAGCAGGGTTTTACTTGATGTCACTGTGGCTCAGTGCCCAATACATCACTGTATCAGGAGCAAGTGTTGGTTTAAACTGGTTTTATAGTTCTTATTTAATGTGTGACCACTATAATCATCTCTGGAGGTAGCATAGCTTTCTGGGACAGTGAGTTGAATGACTGTGTGACATCGTGCGGGCTTTAGGTGTTTACTCAGTGCCACAACTAATTGCTTTGCTGCTCTTCTTGTGGGGCTCAGGGAATGACCAGCAGGGTGATTGTGGTTTGTCCTCGTTTCTGATTCTGATTGTGGTCCTTCCATTCCCTTCATTGTCATCTGGAGAGTTTGCACCTCTGTCCAGTGTCATTGCTTCTGGTTTTTCTCCAACTACAGCCAGTGTTCTTGGTTCGGTATCCATGGTAACTTCTGCCCCCCCCCCACCGTGTACTCCATTTGAATTTCACCTCTGATGATTCTTGGGTTTCTGCGCATCTCCTAGACCTGAACACTTCTAGCCTGGGATTAAATGAAGTTTTAAAAGTTTTGAATTATTTAAATATTTAAATGGTCACTCAGAAACACAAATAATTGTTTTTCATGCATATGTGTATATGGTGTGCATATGCATGCTCACACCTGTGTAGGTTCACATGTGTACATGCATGTGGAGGCAGAGGTTGACTTTAGGTGTTTTCCTCTGTCATTTTCCTGTGCATATGCATGCTCACACCTGTGTAGGTTCACATGTGTACATGCATGTGGAAGCAGAGGTTGACTTTAGGTGTTTTCCTCTGTCATTTTCCTGAGACAGTCTCTTGCTGAACCTGGAGCTCAGCTCGTCTAGCTGGCCAGCTCAGTCTGGGGATCCCCCATTTCTACATCCCTAGTGCTGGGATTACAGGCTGGCGCCCATGCCTGCTTGGCTGTTGTTAATGTTTTATTTTTTGAGGATTTCGTCTATGATTCTACTGTATTCACATCATTTCCTTCCCTCCTCTTCCCTCTCCCAACTCATCCCAGGCCCCTCCACTCCCTCTCAATTTCATGAACTCTTCAACAGTTGCATATATACATGTGCGCATACACACACAGCCTACTGAGTCCATATAGCGGTACTTGTATGTGCATGTATTTAGGGCAAAGCATATGCTGACATGCCAATCTGGATGTGGGAAATTTCACACGGTGCCACCACCACATCAAGAGCTATAGGTAATCAATGGCCACTGAGAGAGGAAAAATTGGTTTTCTTCAGGGACAAGCTCCCTGATGGATTATCCAATCCTAAGTGCCTACCTGTACTTTCTGTGGGCTCTGGGGATCCAAATTCTAATCTTCATGCTTGCACAGCAAGTGCTTTATCCACTGAGCTTTCTCCCCTACTTAGGATTCTTATAAGTGAACCTTAATCTGTTGGGGAAGAATTTAACTTTGTGGACATGCTTTCCACATGATCACAGGATACTTTCACATTCATTGACTTTGTCAAGCATGTACCTGGCCTGTCCTATACAATTCTGGGAGACCCTCAGGAGACATTCGGCTGTGTGTCTGTGTTGAACAAGTTGAATCTGTGTGAGTGGAATGGGTGGGGGGATATAGACTCAATGTCCCTGGGACCCCAGGAATAAGGGTGGGATAAGAGGTTCAAGGTTGTCATGGCAACAGCCACATAGACAAGAGCTTCTAGAACACCAGTGGCAGGAGGAGTTGGCCAAGTGGAACATGGAAGAGCAGGGCCAATAGGTGAGCTACATAGAAAGTTTCCTTTCTTTCTCAAATTACCAATGCTTATAGACCAGTCTCCTTAAGCCACAGCCTGTTGATCAGCCCTGAATGAGAGCATTTTCCCTAGAATGTATGTTTTGTTTGGTTTCTCTAATTTCTCAAGAGATTAGTGAGGATTGAAGTCCCAGTTTAACTAAGTCCTAGTAAAGTCAGAGTTATGGCTATGCTGCCGTGGAGGGTGCAGTCTCCATACTAACCTGTTGTTCTTGTTTTCACAGAACATCGATCCTCGGCATCTCCTTTGGAGCTGCATTTCTCTCGCTTGCCTTCATCCTCTTTGTCTGCTTTGCTGGGCAGCTTTTGGTAAGTGCTTCAAACGTGGAACTAATTTGAAAAGTTTATTCATTTAGTAAAATGACTTACTTAAATATTTCAAAAGCGAGGAGCTCGTTGCTTTACATTTGAAGAGCTGTAATTCCCAGCACGCTTCAGGCCAGCAGCTAGACAGCCTCAGACGTAAACTGAGATAGCTCATGGACAGCCAAGACGCTAATTTGACAACTGTTATGTTTTTCTTGGAGATAAGGCCTCACTTTCTAGCTTAAACTGGTCTCAAGCTCACAATCCTCTTACTGCAGCCTTCCAAATGGGAAAACAGATGTGTACCATTGCATGTAGCAAAAATGTTGGATGTCACACTATAAGAATCATGGTTTTGCTTATTTGTTACTGTCAACTGTTTTTTAGATTATCTCTGCATTATCAGACTACCTGTAGCCATGAACACAAGAATAGCAAGATGGTTCGTGATAGGGTGATTAAAATACTTTAAAAATATGTATATTAAATCTACTTTCAAGGTATAAAATGTTAGAATATAGGAGACTAGAAAATGGTAAAATATCATTTATCATGGGGCTGGAGAGATGGCTCAGATGTTAAGAGCACCGGCCACTCTTGCAGACGATCCAGGTTCGATTCCCAGCACACACATGGCAGCTAACAACCACCTTAACTCCTGTTCCAGGGGATCAGATGCCCTCTTCTGACCTTTGATGGCATTATACAATATTTTATTTTTTTATTTTTTAATGTGGATGAGTGTGTTGTCTGCACATATGTAAGTGCACCCATGTCATGCAATGCCCAAGGAGGTCAGAAGAGAGAGTCAGATCCTCCTGGAACTGGAGCTACAGACAGTTGGAAAGTACCATGTGGGTGCAGGTAACCCAACTCAGGCCCTCTGCAAGAGTATCCAGTGCTCTTAACCACTGAGCCATCTCTCCATTCCATAAATAAAATATTTTAAAAATATCATTTATCAGTGTTTGAATGTGGCATTACCATGCCACATTGCAGTTAATACCTAAGTAAAATGGCCTAACTCTTAATTTAAGATTGGGCTCGAAGGACACGTGTTCTCCAAGTTTTCTCAGAACTGTGCTCTGGAACTATATGCCATATCTTCAATTAGGGAACTAAAAGCTTGGATCCACCCCTGTCTTATCAGATGCTCTTTTCCTTTCATCTCTAGGCCTAGATGGTCTCAGACACACAATGTCAAGCATTCTCAGTCTTCATAATTTTCAATGAAGTTGCACTGCCTTTCAGAACTTTGATATGTCAATTCTCAGCACGTGCACATTCATTCATTATTTTGTGGTAGACTAACACATTGAAGTTCTCAGGAATCAAGGTCAGGTGCCCAGGTCACAAGAGCACATGGTTCAGTGAGTTTGCCAAGATTAGTTAAAAGTCATTAGTCCAGATTCTATTTTTTGTCGTTCCTATATTTGAAGCCAACCACTGTATACGTGTGTGATTTGAATACAGTTTTGGATATGAAAATAATTTCTCCATTTATTGATGAGCATGAAGCAAATGTTGCCAGCCAGTAGGGCACAAGAGCTATGTAGGACACCAACAGGGAGACAGACGTTTCTGAAGATGAGCCATTGTTAGTCAGCAAGAGAGACCAAGTTTCCTACAGGATTCACAGCATTTTCAGAAGTCTCAGACATGGTTTGTAAATAAAAAATTCAACATAATAGTTTTTATAGAAAACATCTCTTTAAAATTTTTGTTCTTACATATATTTTATATGATATCAGAGAATGTATACTGTAGATATTTCCATATTTTCAAGATCATGATTGAAGAGAGACCTCCCCATAAGCCCCAAAACCATAAAGCAACTCTTGCTCTACAAACAAGTCTGTCTGGGACCCCCATAAACCCCAAAACCATAAAGAGGTTTCAGCTCTGCAAACAGGTCCTTCTCTGCGAACAAGTCCTTCTGAGACCCTTGGGGGAGGGAGAGGGAATGCACACCCTAAATATTCTTCCTAACTGGTAGCAAGGTTGGTCTGTGACTCTAGCTGTATACATGTAAGTACTTAAGCTCCCCTGCTGTTTGGTCTACATGCCTACTGCAAAATCCCACTGGTCAGCCGTCGCCGCTCATTAATTGACTAATAAAGGTCAATTTGGATCCTTGAGATTGGTTGCTTTTCATTTCCACTTGGGACTCTTTCAACTCCAAGTTCCTAACATTTTGGTGCTGAAACCCAGGAGAGAGTTCTAAGCTGCGAGGGAGTTAAAGCTCCTAATTCCTAACAATGACTTCTTCTCCCATTCATGTCGTCCCACTTACATGACATAACCTAGCAGGGGGCCTCCGGTCTGCATTACAATCTCTCCCAGTTTGCACACCACTCATAAGGCTGCCCTTGTCCCATTCCCCATGAGTTTAAACTCCTCAAATGCTTCTTTTCTTATAATATCATTTTGCTTTTCCAAAGACCAACCTTGCTACCAGCAGCTCCTCAGCATTGTGCTGTAATAACCTCTTCTCCTCTTCCAAACAGAATGTCTTCTCTTCAGAAGGTTGCAGAAGCCCTGAGTCATCTGTTGTTCAAGAATGAGAGGTTGAAACCTTCTGACTAACAAGGGCTGATTCCAACTTGTAGCCTTGCCTTTGTGGCCGTGAGCTCTTGGCTTCCGGTTTCTTGTATCACTGCAAACCTTTGTGGATTTTGCTCATGATATAGTAGTTTAGGCACTTCAGCGCACACTGACAGCTCTTCCACAACGAGACCATGGTTTATAGTGTACTCAAATGTTCACACAGCATCTTGAGTCTCTGAAGATCTCTTGGAAACAACACAGAGTGCAGAGAGGAGAGGACAGGGCAGTGACCCACACTGTTATGGGACTCCGTTATGGGTAGATGTCAAAGTTGCAAAATGCTTAGTATGCAAATATGCATGGTTTTCCAGGATCCAGAGTTCCTCACTGGGTGGAAAAGCTCACAAACCCCACCCTTGCTTCTCCTTGCCCCCAGAAGACCTTTGCCGTCCACCTCTCAGGTCCTCATCACCGGAGTCCTCACTGTGGTTTCTTTCAAAATCCACACTGTTCTAATAACAATAGCTTACACCCCTGGGTCTGAGAAGCTGCCTCCCATTGTCATGGGAGTAGAGCATGGAGGATATTCAGGGTCTATTGTTTTCTAGAAATTTGGTGATCTTTGCCATGTCTCCCTTTGCAGCCTCAGAGAATCCAACCTCTTTATCACTAATACCGCAGCTCTTGGTCCCCCTCGTTGCCAGCCTATGGCCCCCAAGAACATGGGACCAAGTTCTATCTAGATGGCGCCAACATCTCCTCATTCCCTCCCCTTCCTCTGTGCTTCCAAAAACCCTGCTAGCAAATGCTTTGTGACTCTGTGGTGTCTCAGAGGAAAAGCTACAAATGAACTGGTACCTACCTCCTCATCATCATAAGCCAGTAACATACTAGGGGGCAAGAAGACTAAACCTAAAGACATTCATCTTTTACTTTTTATTTTCTTTCAAAATTAGCAGAGAGAGTAATGGGTTTCCCTAGTGAATTTTCATGCCTCCTTTGTTTGGGGTGATCGTCCTTCCTGTTCATCTCCCCCTATCACCCCACATACCCCTGTACCCTACCACCCTCGTAATCTGTATTACCCTCCCCAAACCCCTTCCTTAAATATCCTTCATCATTATACCTACTCACTCCTAATAAACACATGCCTACAGTCCTAGCATTTGGGAAGCACAGGCAAAAGGATCACCAGTTCAAAGCCAGCCTGGGCTATAGAGCAAATTGTAGACCTACAGCCTAGGCTACATAGTGAGTTCCAGTCAGAGCTACAGAGTAAGATACTGTCTCAAAAAAAAAAAAAAATTAATTAGAAGCTAGAATGTGTATATGAGAGAGAACATGGGGTATTTCTTTTCTGAATCTGTGATACTTTGCTTAATATAATTTGCAGATACATCATTTTCCTGCAAATGTCGTAATTTCCTTTTCATTTATGGCTGAATAAAACTCCCTTGTATAAGTGACCCCACAGTTCCATTATCCATTCACATGTTGATGAGTATCTAGGCTGATTCCATTTCCTTGCTATTGTAAATACAGCAGCAATAAACACGGATGTGCAAATATCTGTGGTAACATGTAGAGTCCTTTGGGTATATACCCAGGAGTGATGTAGCTTGGTCATGTAATAATTCTTTTAGCATTTTGAAGAAGCTCTACACTAATTTCCATAGTGGCTTCAACAGTTTGCACTCCCACCAGCAGTGAATAAGAGTTCCTCCTTCCCCACATCCTCTAGTATTTTTTTTCTTGATGATGACCCTTCTGCTGGGGTCAGATCTCTCAACATGCACAATAAACTCAAAATGGATTTAACACACTTCACTTAAAGACTGGAATGCTGAAACTACTAGAAAAAAGAGATAAGAAAATCACTTCAGGATACAGGCATAGGTAAGAACTTTCTAAACAGGACTCCAATTACACAGCAAATAACCCCGAGAATTGGCAAATGTAATTACATGAAAGTTTTCATGAGATTACATGAAAAGAAACTATCCAGAGTGAACAGAATGGGAGAAAATCTTCATCAGTTATAGTTCATATAGGAGGTTAATTTCTAGAATATGTAAAAATGTAGAAATTGAACACCAAAACAGTACAAGATTAATAATAAATGGACCACTGATATGAACAGGCAGTTCTCAAAAGAAGAAGCACAAATAGACAATAGATATTTTAACAGGTGTTCAACATCCTTAGCCTCCAAGGAAATGCAAATTAAGACACTAGTTCTTGAATTTACATTGTAGGCTCCTTGACCGAGGCTCCCCCCAGTGGCCAGTTGTAACCCTTGGTCCAGGTGCAGTGCTTGTCAGATTGAGGACGGAATTCTCATCCCACTAATAGGTTCTTTTGATGTTTATAGAATTCTGCAATGATTGTTTAACTGTAAACAGCAAAATTATTGATGTGTGATGCATAACTGGTTTAAGAAGGCTTAAGTGTGTCTT